CTGTTTACTTTTTTCTCCCAGTCTTTTCACTCTGTTTTTCAGATTGGATAATTTTTATTACCTGTCTTCAAGCTCACTGTCTTTTATGGCTTTTGAGCCCATTTAGTGAGGTTTTCCCCCCACTCACATATTGTACCTTTTCTTTCTTTCTTTCTTTTCTTTCTTTCTTTCTTTCTAAGATTTTATTTATTCATTTGAGACAGAGAGAGCACAAGCAGGGGGTGATGCAGAGGGAGAGGGAGAAGCAGACTCCCCACTGAACAGGGAGCCTGACGTGGGGCTTGATCCCAGGACTCTGGGATCATGACATGAGCTGTAGGCAGATTCTTAACCATCTGAGCCACCCAGCACCCCTGTACTTTTTATTTCTAAAACTTTCATGTGATTCTTTTTTATGCTTTCTATTTCTCTGTTGAAAACTTCTGTTTCCAATCATTTCAAGAATGTTCACATTTACCTCATAGGGTATAGTTACAATAACTAATTGAGAATCCTCTCTGATAATTTTTTCTTTTCTTTTCTTTTCTTTTGCTTCGCTTTGCTTTGCTTTGCTTCCCCCCCCCCCCATATTTTAACATCGATTGTCTCAGGCTTGTATCTGTTGACTGCCCCCTTTTTTTTTTTTTCCCCAAGGAGGCTCCCTGTGTATTGTGGAGCCCAGTGTGAGGCTTGAACTCAAGACTCTGAGATCAGGACCTGAGCTGAGATCAAGAGTCAAATAGATGCTCAACCGACTGAGCCACCCAGGCACCCGACTGTCTTTTTCTTGAGTTGGATAGATCAGATTGTACTGATTCTTTGTGTTTCAAGTATTTTTATGGCTCCGTGCCCTACGTGGGGCTTGAACTCATGACCCTGAGATTGAGAGTCACATGCTGTCCTGACTGAGTCAGCCAGGCACCCCTGTTTCAAGTTATTTTGGATTTTATCTTAGATATTTGGGATATTGTGAGACTCTGGGTTTTATAACAATCCTCTGGAGATAATGTTGATTTTGTGTTGGCATGCAGTCATTCTGGTTAGATTTAGATTGCAAGTTCTATCTTGCCCTCTGTGGGTGGTGGTTCCAGTGTTAGTGATTTTGTAGCTTTTGTTACAGTGTTTGGGTCTACTCTGTACATGTGTCATTCAGAGTATAATCTGGGACTTGGTGGTGGATTATATCATAGTTCAGTTGTCAAAGTCTTTGCTGCTGTTTTTCAGCTCTGTCCTTCACAGAGCAGTTTGGAGGTGAGCTTAGGACTTGTGTTGGGGATCCTTTTTTGCTCTTTCTTTTCTGGGATTTCCCCTATCTTTTGGCTACCTGGAACCCTTTTTTACTGGTGTTCTAGCTAGAAAACTGGGGCTTTCGTGATGTTATAGCTACATTTCTTCCCACCTACCTCCCCCTCCACTCTTCTTCCCCCTTGTGCTGGGACTAGACTAGACTGCCCCCAAGGTAAAAGTAGTGAGAGAAAAAGAGAAGATAACAGGATTCTTCTCATGCTCTTTTGACCATACAGGCTCCTTTTCTTAGTTCCCAGTTCTTTCCAGTGCCTTAGATGCTCATGCCGTCTTTACTGCACTGTGCATGTGTCACTCAGGGTTTAGTGTGAGGCTTAACTCTGAGGCTAGCCTTGGGAGCCAGGCAGGGAATAAGAAGCCCCAGAGTTTCTCCCCACACTCTCTGGCTCACAGAGACCCTCTTTCTTGGTTTTCTCTGAGTTTATGTTCTGTGTTCCTGCTACATAGTTTGAAGACTTGACCCATCAATGGATCAAACCAGAAAAGAAAAGAGGAAAGGAAAAAAGCCCCTGAAACTCACTTCCATCATGGGTCCTTACTTAGTTTTGACTTCCTTCCCCAGTCCATCTTCTGTGTACTTTTCAGAGTCCTCAGATAGTTGTTTTTTTTTGTCCAAGGTTTTTGTTTGTAATCATTGGGAGAAATAGGGTATAATAAACTTACTGTAGTTGACTTGCCCCAAACTTAAATTTATTTTCTGGGAATTGCAAAATACACTTGTTTCAGAAATTTGGAAAAATCAGAAAAGCTTAGAGAATGAGAAGTTTAGAGAATGAGAAATTTGGAAAAATCAGAAAAGTTTAGAGAAGTTTTTAGAGAAATTACCTGTAATTGCATTATCTAGTAATAAGTCATTTTAACTTTTTCCTCTAGTTTTTTCTCTGTATATTTTAACACGGTGAACACCGTAATGGATATGGTTTTTTTTTATCTAATATTTTTATTAAACAATATTTGTATCACAATATGTTTTTAGTAAGTACCTCCATAAAACCTGTATAATCTGTCATATGGATGTGTCATATACTTAATCATGCCCTTGTTATTAGATACATGGTTCATGTCACTGTGACCATCTTTGTATATACATTTTTGCCTGATAACTTTTTTGAGCTCTTGACTTAACCATAAGAGGAAATCAAAGTTTTCTTAATCTGTTTCAGATAATATTTAATTATTTTTTTAAGTCTGACCCAGTGTGTTTGTTTATAATTATCTTCTTATAACCATCTTCAAAATGGTATTGCTTTTGATAGAGGACCTTGTGATTTTTGATTCTTTTGAACTTTAGAGTTCATTGTAGGAAAATTTAATTGAAGATAATGTAATAAGTTTTTAATCCTTGGAGGAATGAATGAGTAAGTTAGTGAATTTTGATTTTTATATTTTAAGGGAAAATGGGACGGAGATTTTTTTTTTTTTTAAGATTTTATTTATTTGAGAGAGAGAGAATGAGAGACAGAGAGCATGAGAGGGAGGAGGGTCAGAGGGAGAAGCAGACTCCCTGCTGAGCAGGGAGCCCGATGTGGGACTCGATCCCGGGACTCCAGGATCATGACCTGAGCTGAAGGCAGTCACTTAACCAACTGAGCCACCCAGGCGCCCTGGAATGGAGATTTTAAAATGATGCTAATATATGCCCAGCATAGTTTTGTATCTGCCTCCATTGTGTGTTCATATGGAAATAAGGTCTGTATTAGAAATACAGAAATAAAATATGAATGATTGAATTTATTTTGGAGTAAATTTTTTGTGATTCTAATTAGAGATTCTTTATAGCCTGAAGTGCTTGTCTGTGTGTATATGCATACAGCTTTAGGTTCTTCTGTATTGTCTTGGTGGGGATTTGAAGAATTTTGTGTTTAATTTTAAAAGTTTATTAATTCGGGGCACCTGGGTGGCTCAGTCGTTAAGCGCCTACCTTCGGCTCAGGTTGTGATCCCAGGGTCCTGGGATCGAGCTCTGCATCAGGCTCCCTGCTCCGCGGGAAGCCTGCTTCTCCCTCTCCCACTCCCCCTGCTTGTGTTCCCTCTCTCACTGTGTCTCTCTCTGTCAAATAAATAAGTAAAGTCTTTAAAAAAAAAAAAAAGTTTATTCTTGGGGCACCTGGGGGCTCAGTCAGTTAAATATCTGCCTTTGGCTCAGGTCATGATCCCAGGGTCCTGGGATGGAGCCCTGGGTCAGGCTCCACGTTCAGCAGGGAGCCTGCTTTTTCCTCTCCCTCTGCCTGCTGCTTCCCCTGCTTGTGCTCTCTCTCTGTCGTTAAATAAACAAACAAATAAATAAAATCTTTAAAAAAAAAGATAAGAAGAGGGAAAATACCCCTAATCGACAACTGAAGAGACAGCTTTATTTTTTAAAATTTTCTTTAAAGATTTTATTCTTTAGATTTTATTCTGAAGGCAGACGCTTAACGACTGAGCCACCCAGGCGCCCCTTTTTTTTATTTTAAAGATCTATTTATTTATGTGTGAGAGAGAGAGAGTGTGTGTGAGTGTTGGGGGAGGGTTGGAGAGAGAGAAGGCAGATGCTTAACCGACTGAGCCACCCAGGTGTCCCAATACACAGCTTAAAAAGCTACTAAGATATATACACTAAAATTTGGAGGAAAAAGAATTCCACTAAAACGTTTAGAGTATTACCTTTTGTGTTATGTGTAGCCTATTTAAAGCTTAGTTTGTGCAGAGAAGTTAGAATAATGTATTTTATGTCATATAATTGAGATATCTACTAAATGTAAATCATAGTCTTTCATATTTTAAGTGTTGGTAAAATATAAAGGATATTATTGGTACCTCACAAATTCTGCTTTTGATTATATAGCAGGCGTTAGACTATTCATAGGCGGTAAGGAGAACTAAAGTTAGTTCAGTATGGTGCCAGTATACTGAGCTAAGTGTTTAATATATATAATTTTATTTAATTTTCATATCATCCATATAAAGTTGGTACTTTTTAGATATTATCTTTGCTTTACAAATGAGGAAACAGGACCACAAAGGTTAGAAAGTTGTTGTATGTTTTGTCCTTATCTATTAAACCCCAGATCAGCACTTGTTCTAATAAAACATTAATTGAACAATGTCCCTGGCCTTCAGGACATTTTAATGTAAATAAGGAAATAAAGTGGTAGATTAAATAGTGTGGGCACTGTTTGTATGAGGTTTTAGGAACATGAAAGTACCACTTAGTGATTTGGGGAGGTTAGGGAAGGTTTTACAGAGCAGTTGATGTTTGAGCTGAGTATTGAATAGGAATTTTTTTTTTTTTTAAAGATTTTATTTATTTATTTGACAGAGAGATAGTGAGAGCAGGAACACAAGCAGGGGGAGGGCGAGAGGGAGAGGCAGGCTTCCCGCGGAGCAGGGGTCCTGTTGCGGGGCTCTGTCCCAGGACCCTGGGATCATGACCTGAGCTGAAGGCAGACGCTTAATGACTGAGCTACCCAGGTGCCCCAGGAATGTTTTTTTTAAACATGGTTTCAAGTTAATGCTGCTACCTTTAACTGTTGGTAACTTGATATTTTCAGCAGTTATGAAATTAGCATGTGAGTATTGTTCTGGAAACAAAAGCAATGTGAGAAATACTGCCTAATACAGATGCAGACACAGTATTGAATGTGATGTAATATGTTACAATTTTTACTTGTTACTTTATTAATTTTTGATGTGAAGAATTTAGTAATCCGTGGTATAATATGATTTCTTTCACTACAGATGTCCTCCTCGCACTTTCTTACCAGCCCTCTGCAAAATTTTTCTTGATGAAAGTGCTCCAGACAATGTGTTAGAGGTGACAGCCCGTGCCATCACATACTATCTGGATGTATCTGCAGAATGCACCCGAAGGATTGTTGGGGTTGATGGAGCTATAAAAGCACTTTGTAATCGTTTAGTTGTGGTCGAGCTTAATAACAGGACTAGCCGAGACTTAGCTGAACAATGTGTAAAGGTAAGTCTTAATTATTTACTGGCCCATTTGAAGATCACTAGAGAATAAAAAATATATTTTGCTAAAAAAAGAAAATTCTTTCATTATTTTTACTTTATTGAGAGTGGTTGACAACAGTGGAAGTCATGGTCCTTGTGGCACCAAAGAGGATCCCTTATAGCTTGGGAAAAGAAGTCTTATCTTCAAAGGAAATTGTAGGTCACAGATAATGCTCTTCTGTGCTGGCTCTTGGGTTCCTGGTAGCTTTTGAGATAGGTAATCCCTGTTCTTAGCCAAAATGATTTTGTATGAAAATAGTAGTGACAACAACTAATACTGATTATTAGAGTCAGGCATTATGCCAAACACTTTACGTGTTTTAACTCAGTCTTCATGACAACTTTATATGAGGTGGGTGCTGCTAATATCAGCATTTCTATTTTTTATTTGAAAAAAATTCAAGCATCTTGAGGTTAAGTAACTTGGTGGTGGTACAAGTAGTTCATGGCAGAGCCAGGATCGAAAAGTTAGGAGTTTGAAATTACGAAGTCTGGTTCGAGGGCCCATGGGTTTAACTATTTTTTTGTACTTCCTTTAGAGTAGCTGTTTTGTTTTATTCCTGGTGGGACTAATTATAAACTTTATGTGACTTTGAAAGCACCAGTGCTGGGTCAGTAATTTATTAAAACTACTTGATGAAAACATTTAGACTATCCTTGATTTGTTATGATTCCTGTTTCATTCTTGTTAAGATTCTTGCTGCCGTAGGCCAGCAGTTTTCAAACTTTCTGTCTCAGGATCCCTTTACAAGTCTTATTATTGAGGGGCCCTCAAAGAGCCTTTGTTTATGTAGGTTATCTCTATTTACCTTTACTATATTAGATATTAAAACAGAAATTTAGGACATATATTTATCTGAAAATAACAAACTCATTATGTGTTAATGTACATTTTTAATGAAAAAATTATTTCCTGAACAAATGGAAAATTAATGAGAATAGTAGCATTGTTAAGCATTTTTGTATGTCTCTTTAATGTCTGGCTTAATAGAAGAAGTTGAGTGGATCCTCATATCTGCTTCTGCATTTAGTCTGTTGCTATATCACATATAGCTTTTCAAAAATTCCACCCTACACTCCTGAGAGAATGAGAATGAAAAAGATAATTACTGTCATGGTATTGGTATTACGAAAAAAGCTTTAACTTAAAAGGATCTTTGAAAATGTCTTCTCCACACTTTGAGAGCTGCTGTTACAGGTGTTAATGTCTTGATTTTCTGCCTCTGTGTCTGTAGATTTATTTTTGTCTCTAGACTCAGACAAAGAGGTATCTATTTTCCTGTTTAGAGCTGTTTTTCTCTTATTCTCTCTTTTTAAAATTTAATTAATTAATTAATTTTAGAGAGCGTGAGTATGCGAGCAGGGGGAGGGGCAGAAGGAGAAAGAATCTCAAGCAGACTCCGCACTTGAGTGTGGAGCCTGACTCAGGGCTTGATCTCACATCCCTGAGCTCATGACCTGAGCTGGAAATAAGAGTTGGACACCCAAATGACTGAGTCACCCAGGTGCGCTCTGTCTTACTCTCTTGATCATAATACTTCATGTTTCCTCTGGGACTGTAATTTTACTCCATTCTTTATTCATTGACTCATACTATTTCAAACTCTTTCTTGTCTTTTACACCCTGCTCCCCCTTTTTCTGTTTCCTTTGCAGATTATTGTTATTAATTTATTCTTAAATTTCTAAGGTTCTTTTTTTACCTTCTTAAAATTATGACTTTGCCTAGATAATCTCATCTATCACCATCAATTCCATTCATTTGTATATGGCCCTCATGTCTTTATCTGTAGACCTGACCTCTCTCTTGAGTTCTAGACTCCATATACAAAGGCTTGTTGGACAGCTCCAATAGCTGTCTGAATTCATGATCTTTTACTACAAATACAGTTATTTTGATAATTGGCATCAAATTTACCCACTGTAGGCAGAAACCCTGCTTTATCTTTTCTTTCCTTTTTTCCACCCCACACATGATGATTTTCTAGTTTATTTCCTTTTGTTTGTCTCTGTTACTATTGCCTTAGTTAAGCTTTCATCCTCTCTTAAATATTAATGCTTGAAATTTTTTTTTGCATTTACCTCTGTACTCTCCCTATGGCCCATTCCCAGTTATTAACTGGAAATCTGATCATACTGTTTTTCTGCTTAAAACATTTTTCTCAAAAAACCCCACATTTTTCTACCTTAAAGAATAGAGTCTGGGCACCTGGGTGGCTCAGTTGGTTAAGCGACTGCCTTCGGCTCAGGTCATGATCCTGGAGTCCCAGGATCGAGTCCCACATCGGGCTCCCTGCGCAGCAGGGAGTCTGCTTCTCCCTCTGACCCTCCCCCCTCTCATGCTCTCTCTCTATCTCATTCTCTCTCTCAAATAAATAAATAAAATCTTTAAAAAAAAAAAAAGAATAGAGTCTAAATTTTCTGGTATGCCTAAAAAAACTGTGGACCCTATTAACTCTTTAGTTCTACCCGAGCTCCTTAAACATCAACATAATTTGGAAAATAAAAGTTAATTTTTAAAAAATTTTTAATTATTTATTTGACAGAGAGAGAGAACAAGCGCACGTACCTGCAAGCAGGGGGAAGGCAGGCAGAGGGAGAGGGAGAGGCAGGCTCCTGGCAGAGCAGGGGGGGCCCGATGTGGGAATCAATCTCAGGACCCAGGTGCCCCTGAAAGTTAATTTTTCATGCTTTGACATTCATAGATTAAGTGTGAGGATGATGAGTAATGTAATAGCAAGCATTTATTTATTGATTTCATGTGTAGGAACTTTGTAAACTTCTGCTAAGTTATTTTAGTTGCTTAACTTGCCACGCCGGCTTCACCATCTGAACCTACACTGTTTGATACGATAGCCATATAGGACATTTCAAATGTGGCTACCCCAAATTAAGATGTGCTATAAGGATAAAATACACTTGGGATTTTGAAGACTTAGTATATTAAAGTATATGGGGCGCCTCGGTGGCTCTGTTAGTTGAGCATCTGACTCTTGATTTTGGTTCAGGTCATGGATCACTCCCCGTGTGGGGCTCCACACTTAGTGGAGAGTCTGCTTGGGATTCTCTCTCTCCTTTCCCTCTGCCCCTCCTCCTGCTTATGCTCTCCCTCCCTCTCTCTAAAATAAATAAATATATATATATATTTTAAAGATTTTATTTATTTGACACAGAGAGAGAGAGAGGGCTAGAGAGACAAGTGGGGGAAACAGTAGAGGGAGAGGGAGAAGCAGACTCCCCACTGAGCAAGGAACCTGATGCGGAACTCAGTGCCAAGACCCTGGGATCATGACCTGACCTGAAAGCAGATGCTTAACCGACTGAGCCACCGAGGCAACCCTATATATTTTTTTTAATCAGAAAGAGAGAGAGTGTGAGCACAAACGGGGAGTGGCAGGCAAATGGTGAAGCAAGCTCCCTGCTGAGCAAGGAACCCGATGTGGGGCTCAATCCCAGGACCTTAGGATCATGACCTGAGCCAAGGGCAGCCGCTTAACTGGCTGAGCTAGCCAGGCGTCCCTAAAAAAAAAATAAATTATTAAAAAAAAAAACCTTTAAAAAAATACATTAAAGAATGTAAAATACATCAATTTTTAACTTTGGTAACGTTGAAATGATGATGCCTTACATATATTGGGCTAAATTAAATATAATATTCAAATTAATTTGTTGTGCTTTTTAAAATGTGGCTACTAATAAATTTGGAGGGCACATTGTGTTTTCTGTGACGCTAGAAAATTAAAATTGGCCTTACTGTATTCTTTTGTTAATTTTGATTTACTGTTGTAGGTGTTAGAACTGATATGTACTCGTGAGTCAGGAGCAGTCTTTGAGGCTGGTGGTTTGAATTGTGTGCTTACCTTCATTCGTGACAGTGGACACTTGGTTCATAAAGATACCTTGCACTCTGCCATGGCTGTGGTATCAAGACTCTGTGGCAAAATGGAACCTCAAGATTCTTCTTTAGAAATTTGTGTGGAATCTCTTTCTAGTTTATTAAAACATGAAGATCATCAGGTAAATAAATCACTGTTTTATACTTTGTATTCAAAAAGTGACTTTATAGTGTCCTTATTTATAACTTTGATACACTGTTATTTGAACTTTTCAGTTGATGAACTAGAGGTAATTCCATTTTCTCTTTTTCTCTTTTTTTTAAGATTTTTTTAGTTTTT